AATTGACCTAGATAAAATTAGGACCATTCAGAATCTATCTTTCCAAGCACACAAAGGAGGTTTGAGGCTTCTTAGGTTGATTGAACTATATTTCTCGGTTTATTTCTCAACTCACTTTTCAAATGTGATCCCATCTTCAAACTCCTTCGAAAGAATAATCTTAGGGAGTGGAATGAACAATGTCAAGAAGCTTTCAATAATATTAAGCAATACTTATCAAATCTTTCAATCTTACACTCCTTATTTTGGGAAAACTATTGATTCTATACATAGTGGTACAAGAGGGATCAATAAGCCGTGTGCTGGGCCAATAAGATAAATTCGATAAGAAAAAGAAAGGTATTTATTACCTCAGCCAAAAATTCACAGAGTATGAGTCCAAGTATTCATCATTAAAGAAAATATGTTATGTTTTAGCTTGGACAGCTAAAAGACTTAGGCAATATATACTCTATCATACGACTTGGCTCATAGCTAAACTGGATTCCATCAAATACATCTTCAAGAAACCATCACTATAAAAAAAAATCGCAAGATGGCAAGTGATGTTTTCTGAATACGACATAGTATATATATGTCAAAAAATAATCAAGGGAAGTGTCATTGCTGAATTTTTTATAGATAGGGCCACTGATGATTATAAACCCATAAAGCTTGATTTTTTAAATAAGGAACCAATGACTATCTTAGAGTTAGAAGAAGATGATGATGAGGAAGAGATATAAAGGATGTATTTTGATAGGGCTGCCAATGCCATGGGATATGGGATTGAAGTAGTTTCAATATCTTCAATGGAGTACTACTATCCTGTTACAGCAAGATTGAATTTTAACTACACGAATAATGTAGCCAAATATGAGGTTTGTGTTACAAGGCTGCATGCTGCTTTAGACAAAAAAGTTGAAACATTAAAGGTGTTTAGGGATTTAGCTCTAGTTATTTATTAACTAAAAGGTAAAATGAAACAAGAGATTCCAAACTCATCCTTTATCACAAATACATCTTAGAGCTGTGTAAACAATTTAAAGTAATTCAGTTTAAACACTTGCCTCAAAAAGAAAATTAAATTACAGATGCTTTGGCTACCTTGGCTGTAATGGTATAGATTGGTGATACTATAGAGATTCGGCCTATCAAATTAGATATCAAAGACATGCCAGTACATTGTGTCAATTTGAAAGAAGAGGAGGATAGCCACCATTGGTATTATGATATCATGCACTATCTAAAGAATCAGTAATTTCAGATCAAGCAATAGAAAATGATAAGAAAATTTTGAGAAGGTTGGTTATAGGATTTTTTTTTGATGGAAAAATTTTGTACAAATGAGGTAAAGACCAAGTGTTATTATGCTGTGTAGGTGCTTTTGAGGCCAAAAAGATTATTGAGAAAGTTCACAATAATGCATGTAGAGCACATGCAAATGGGCATATAATGGCAAAACAAGTTATTCAGGCTAAATATTACTATTGATAATGAAAAAAGATTGCACGATTATGCTAAAAAATGCCACAAATGTTAGATTCATGCTCTGCCCGGTGCTTTACATGTCATAGCACCACTTTGGCTATTTTCTATATAGGGAATGGATATCATTGATCCTATCACACCAAAGTCTTTAAACGAGAATAGATTCATTTTTGTGATGATTAATTACTTCACTAAATGGGTTGAAGCTACCTCTTTCATAACTATGACAAGATCAGTAGTTTGTAAATTCATCAAAGAGAAATAATTTACAAATAAAGGCTCTCAAAAAGAATAATTTCAGATAATGTAAAGAATTAGAATAGCAAGATGGCGTGAGAGGTATCTATTCAGTTTAAGATCAAATACCATAATTTAGCTCCATATTGCCCAAAAATGAATGAGGTAGTAAAAGCTACAAACAAGAACATCAAAAAAATTTTGAAAAAGATGACTAAAACATACAAGGATTGGCATGAAAAATTATCTTTTGCTCTACATGCATATCAAACTTTCGTACGCACCTCTACTGGGGTAATTTTTTTTCTTTAGTTTATGGGATGAAAGCTATATTGTCAGTAGAAGTAAAAATTCCATTACCGAGGGTCCCAAGGAAAGTGGGATTAGAAGAAGTTGAATGGATTTATAAATGCTATGAGCAATTGAACTTTATTAAGGAGAAGAGATTGATGGCATTTTGCTATGGCCAATTATACCAAAGAAGAATAATGATAGCTCATGACAAAAAAGTCAGACCTTGTCAATTCTGAGAAGAAGAATTGTTATTGAAAAGAATTCTTTCAAGTTAGCATGATGATAGAGGCAAATGGACCCTAAATTGGGAAGAACCATATATTGTAAAAAGAGCCTTTTAAAGAAGAGCTTTAATCTTGTCAAAACTGGATGGAGATGAACTTCCTGGTCCTATCAATTTTGACATAATAAAAAAGTACTTTGCTTGATTCTAAAAAAAATAAAAAAATTAAAACAAAAATAAAATAAAAAAGGGGGGCTCAAGTTGAAAACCTGAAAAGTGTGACTTAGATCTAAAGGAAGAGGCTCAAGTTGAAAACCTGAAAGGGTAACTTAAATCCAAAGGAATAGACTCAAGTTGAAAACTAGAAAGTGCGACTTGGATAAAAAAAAAAGGTTCGGGTTAAAACCCTGAAATAGAATATGGCATCACTTGGAAAGCATACCAGGGATAATGAATTCCAAAAAGCTTTAAAGTGTCGAGGCATCGTGTTTTGATAGAGATTTTAAAGAAAATCCAAAATTTATTGTCATGGTCATCTAATCATTTGTCTAGGGCATTACTACCCTAAATAGTCGCTCCCGAATACTCTTTTTTTTTTTTTATCTTTATACCATCATTTGTAATTTATTGCTTATCCAAATAAATGAAAACTACCTTATTGTTCTATCTTAGTTCTATACATTGCCAATATATTTATCTTTTCTCTTTACCATGAATGAAAGAAATGCATAACTTTGAAATTGGGATAATGATTAATAATTGAATAAAGTCATAAAAAGTTGTGTGTTGCCTTAAAGAATTAAAGGAGACAAGGACAAAGGACGAATGCCTCTTAAAGAAAAAAAAAGAAAATTGACTTCCATAGTTTTCCTTGGGGTGGAGATAAACATTCAAGTTGATGAAAGAGGGTTTCTTTGCTAAAATGTGCAGTGAAGATGAATATGTAAGGTAACAAAAGATGGTTTCTATCTAAAAACGTTTAAAAATGTGAATACAAAAGCCTTAGTATCACAATTGATGTTTCATTTGCATTCTAGATAGGATATGCACTTATATTATCCACTCATTTGATCTTGGCTTAGTCCATATCATTTTTTATGATTCATGGTTTCATCTCGATCATTTATTTTTTACCTCGACTCGATCTTGGTTGTTTTATTTTGATTTGTGATTTCATCCCAGTCACTTGATCTTGGCTCAATCCAGATCATTTCTTATGATTTGTGGTTTTGCTCCGATCATTTATTTTTTACCTCAATTCTATCCTGATCGCTTTATTTTGACTCGTGGTTTCATCTTGGTCCCTTGATCTTGGCTCAATCTAGATCATCCCTTATGATTTGTGGTTTCGCCCCAATCATTTATTTTTGACCTCAACTTTGTTCTGGTTGCTTTATTTTGACTCGTGGTTTCGTCTTGATCCCTTGATCTTGGCTCAGTCCAGATCATCCCTTATGATTTGTTGTTTCGTCTCAATCATTTATTCTTGACATCGATTCGATCCTGATCGTTTTATTTTGACTTGTGATTTCGTCCTAGTCACTTGATCTTGGTTCAATCAAAATCATTTCTTATGATTCGTGGTTTCACCATGATCATTTATTTTTTACTTCTACTCGATTTTGGTCATTTTATTTTGACTCGTGGTTTATCTCGGTCACTTGATCTTGGCTTAGTCCAGATCATCCCTTATAATTCATGGTTTTGCCTCGATCATTTATTTTCGACATTGACTGACTCAATCCTGATCACTTTATTTTGACTCGTGGTTTCCTTTCGGTTCCCTAATCTTTGCTTAGTCCATATCATCTCTTATGATTCGCAGTTTTGTCCTAATAATTTATTTTCAACCTTGACTCAGTCTTAGTCACTTTATTTTGACTTGTGGTTTCGCCTAGGTCTCTTGATCTTGGCTCAGTCCAGATTATCTCTTATGATTCGTAGTTTCATCCTAGTCATTTATTCTTGACCTCGATTTGGTCTTGATCACTTCACCTTGACTTGTGGTTTGGTCTCAGTCACCCAATTTTATTTCCGTCCATATCATTTTTCAAATTTGAAGATCATTCCTGACTCAGACTCAAACAAAACAAGTGTCTAGATCTTTGCAAATAAATTTCAGGTAGGTAAATAAATTTTTTTTATATTTGGTGTAATCACTATTTTACCTTAAATTTAGTTTACAATATATTTAAAATTTAAAATCATAATTAATTTTTATATCAAAAATTAATTGTAATCATTAAAATTAAAATTTTAATATTTTATCAATAAATTATATTATTATTGGCAAATTCATAATTATTAGTTGCTCTATTTATTAATATATCTCCACCTTAATAATTCATGCTTGACTTATTTAAAAAGCACTCCAAAAACCACTATTTTTTCTTCGAACTTAGTTTAAAACATATTTAAATTTTAAATTCATAATCAATTGCATGCTCTATTTATCAATATATCTACACTTCAATAGTTCATTTTTCATTTCATGATAAAAGTATATTAAGATGAATCTCAAGTTTAATTCAATTATTTCATTTTTTTTGTAAACAAAAATACATTAAGATTTAAAAATTTTAATTCCTTCTTCCTCCCTCTTCGTATCTAATCTAAATATTGAAAAAAAATAATATAAACGTGATAAATAAATAAACAAATAAATATTGGAACGAATAATGAATATTCAATGTCGAATGTACATGGACCAGCCCAAGATATCGTTTCAATTTATATCGTTTCAATTTATGCCCGTTGTTCAAACCCGGTTCGTTAAGGTCAAAGACCGGGTCATGTAAAACAAAAAACCCACACACACACACAGAAAAAAAAAAAAGAATCCTCGTTTCCGGGGAGGCGGAGAAACGTTTCTTTTCGGGTCACCATACCTTGAGAGATCCTGGCCGGCGGGACCTTTCTTTTTGCTCTTTCCATCTCCATTTTCGAATAAAATTAAAAAACCAAGAAAATTAGGAAAAAAATAGAAACTTCTTCTAGAATCATCCGGATCTTTCTCTAAAATATAGTTAGGATTAGGGTTTTAGGTTTTTTTTTTTTTTTAAACTAGTAAAAGCTATGTCTGGTCTCTATCGATCTTCGAGTGCGCCATTGAAGAACGGTCTTCCCCCTCAAGAGCTCCTCGACGATCTTTGCAGGTTTCACTTTTCTGTTTGTTTTCCGAGAATTTGATGTTAAAAAATTCCAGTGATGTTTCTTTTGTGTTTATTTGATTTATTTTGACTAGTTTTAGGGTTTGTTATAGAGGAAGTAACTGAATTCAGTTGTATAACTGTTAAGTTATGTATAAAAAAAGAGAAGCTTTGACTTATTAGCTCATGAATTTTCGATATTGCTTGATTGAAAACGTCTGCTTTAAAGGTTTTTAGTACGATTAGTGCTGCACCATGGAGGTTATTGTGGAGATTAAACATAGTTATATATTGCACCATTTCTTGGTATAGGGAATTCTTAATTACCTTGCTTTCAAACTTGTTAGAAAAGTATCAAGATATGGAAGCATGATCATTTGTAATATCTATTGAACTATTTGTAATATCTATTGAACATTTGTAGTTAATTGTTTTGGAGCGATTAATTGAAGAAGTTTAGTGTTTATACCCCAATGATGTTTAGATTATGATTAAGTATTGCTAGGCCACATATCATGCAGTTGTTATATATCTATATCTTATCTATATATATATATATATATATATTTGTTGCTAGATCAATAATGATATGTTTTGAAGATTGTTAATGAGATTAATGGTGTGGAGCAGCAGATAATTATGTAGATTAAAACTTTGTGGGGACTGGGGAGTTGTTAATTGTATTGTTACCAGGCCTGCCAGATAAGTAGGGATTTATAGAAGTTTGACCCTTTGTAATATTAGTAGTAAATATTGTAGCTATATGTTGGATTAATCAATTAAGTGGATGGTTTAAGCTCAAGAATCATTAGACTGTAGATCATTTTCTTAGTTATCATCAACCAAGTATCCCACAATTGAATTTTGTTGGTTGTCTTGGTAGGAAATTTATTTCTAAAGTTTCACCGATATGATCCAATTATTGGCTGATGGTCTGTTTGTATGATGCTATTCCCTTAAGTTTTTCCTCCCAAATGAGTTATCATGGACTTAAAATCATTACCATGTGATGACTGAAGCAGTCTCTCTCTCTGTGTTTTCTATATCATTGCCTTGTTTCTGTTTTTTCTTCTGATCCTATCTAAAGCTTATTTTTAATAATTGTTGTGTAGTCGGTTTGTTTTAAATGTGCCGAAAGAGGACCAGCAGTCATTGGAGAGAATTCTCTTCCTTGTGGAGTATGCATATTGGTTCTACGAGGACAATACGGTGGAAAAAAATCCATTGTTGAAGTCACTGAATCTGAAGGAGTTCACCTCTTTATGTATCCTATATTTGATGCATCCTTATTGTTGTAATATGTTGCTATCACTAGCCTGCTGGCTGATTTGTCAAATATTCACAATTGATTTCTACTCCATGCTAATTTTCTTCACTTTTAGTTGTTCAGACCACTTCTCATCTACGATTATGATAGCTTTTTATATTAAAGTATGGCTTCAAAATAAAAACAAAATGTTTTATCATCTTGCCTCCCAGCTTGGTTTATGAAAATGATACATGTAGGCCCTAGACACTCGTCAAGTTGAAGCCATTGGTATAACTCCATTTTTTATGGGCATTTTCTAACTTGATTAATGATTTAACATTCAAGATGTAAGAAGTCAAAGGTTCATGTACACTATTCTTAAAGATGATTTATTGTCTATTGATCATAGTTATTTGATTTTCACTCTGCTTGATTTTCTGAACTAACTTTTTTCTTATATGACACCTTGCAGTTTTTTGCTAGGATGCTGACTCTTACCTTAATGTTGTAAATAAATGGTATGAAGGTTGTTCATCATAAGATCCAATTGTTTCTTCTGGAAAAAATGGATATCTGGTTTTGATGTTATTGCAAAAGTTTGGACTTCTATGTCATAGAATCTGTACCATTAGGAAAAGGAAAAGCTCTATTTATAATAGGGAGTTGGAGCTTCAGCCTATAACATTTTCTGTTTCTGAAGAGGATGGCCTCTGATTTCATCTTCTTTTTTCCTCCCCGAATTGAAGATTAAACTTTATACTGTTAAGTGCAGTATAACTGTATAAGTCAAGATCCTTTTTGACTTGACATTTTATTTTACTTTTAGAAGACTCTCTTTATGGCATTTTCTATACTTGTTTTTTGTTATTCTACTCTATGAGTATGTTCTGTTTTCTTGTTTCTCTATGTCATCATATTCTCTATTTCCTTAACTTGTTCCAGTGTTTAACAGCTGTGATGTTTTAAGGCCTTATGTTGCACATTTAGATGATATATTTAAGGATTTCACTGATTACAAGGTTCGAGTTCCTGTAACAGGGGCAATTATTTTGGATGAAACATATGAACGGGTGAGTCTCTTCATTGTGCTAGTCAAAAACAAGAAGATTCCTTTGTCCTTTTCTTTTTTTTCATTTTTTAGTGAATGCCACTCTTTACTTCTTTGTTGTATCCAATTTGACAAGTTAACTTCCTGGTACTTTTATACTTGATTTTAACACTGCTAATGTACTTCAGGCATTCATGTATTCTTGCTTGAGAATAGAAATTTTGCAATTTAATCTCTCTTCTTCACTCATTCTACATAATTCCAATCTCTTGATATATTTGTCATAGATTTGTGTTAGTGCGTCTATAATTCTTGGGTCTTTTCATTCAAATGTTATTTTCCAATTGATGGAACTTCAATGAAAGCTATCCTTGCAATTAAAGATGTTAAATTCAAGTTGTATAACATTTTTCAGTGTTTTCAAATATGTTGAAGTGAATTACTAAGTTTCCATTCTACAAGTGTCTTTACCTTATATTTGTTGCTGCAATTAATAGTGCATCCTAGTGAAGGGATGGAAAGGGACAAGCTGGAGCTTCCCACGTGGAAAAAAGAATAAAGACGAGGAAGACCATGCATGTGCCATTCGAGAAGTAAGCTTATTTCTCATGGAAGTTTTTTGCACCTTCAACTTATCTGTATTTTAGGGCTTCTCCTCAATTTGTCCATACTTAGACGAGCATATGTCTGATGCTTTAATGGTAATTAGGCTTTATTATTGTAGACCAATTTTCTGTGACGGACTGGAAACTGATTCCTAAAGAGTTAGATTGGAAATGTATTTCCTTTGACAAGTGGTTTAATCTTTTGCACACAAGATGGATTCAGTGTTGTTTGTTCTGAAGAATGGTAGTAATTAGACTCTACTAGCTAGTGCATATGGCTACAGAGTCAAAGTCTACTTCTGATTGATCTTGCTTTCTAGTTATGAGTGACATGGATGAGGAAGAAATGTGGAATCTACATTTGTTTATTAACTAGCTTTCCATGTCTGTTCATTCACCTAAAAAAGCAAAAGCTAGAGTAGGGTTGCCAATCTCTCTATTGAACCTGTTATTAAACTTCATCGGTGGCATGGAGTCTTTGGATATGTAGATTTTTACCTGTAATTTATTCACTGTTTGTTTCCCTTCTTCTTTGGAGAAGTAATAAAGTTGATGGTACCTAAAAAATGAATCCAGATTCTGATGATAGCAAAATCCAAATAATTATTGATTACTCTTTGAGTTCTTTGTCTTCCTCTTCTCTCTCTTTTCTTTCCTCATCTATGATTGTTGATGTACTTTCTATGAAAATACAGGTTTTAGAAGAAACAGGCTTTGATGTCTTGGGGCTCCTAAACAAAGATGAATACATTGAAGTAATATTTGGCCAGCAGAGGGTGCGGCTCTATATAATTGCTGGTGTTAAGGATGATACTGCCTTTGCCCCACTTACAAAAAAGGAGATCAGTGTATGTGTTTCTTTCGTTGACGAGTGCCATTACTTGTTCATAATATTTTGGAAGGTTACATAACATTAATGGCCTGACGATATCCAATTTTAAGCAACCCTTCTATATGTAGTTACAGTTTTCCTCACAACTTCAGAGCATATATCTAATTAGCTTGTGTTTTGCATGCTCAATCATCAAGTAACTTCACATTTGGGCTATTTTTAGTGCTTAGTACCTTTCAGCAATAGAATAAACCCATCTTATTGGCAAATTCAGTGTGCTATAAACGTCAGACATTTGCATTGCCTATCTCTTGCTGCCAACGGAAATGAAGAAAATTTAAAGAGACCTTTACAAAACTGAAGCTTTCATCCAAATTGTCAAGAATTGCATACTGCTCTTGTTTTGTGTGTGTGTGTGTGTCAGTGGGTTCTTTTTTATTTTTATTTTTATAAACCGCATTTTCTGCTTTACCTTTTTGATATGGAGTAAAAGCTATTATAGTAATAGCATACTTGATGTTTTCTCTCCCCTCCCAGCCTTCCCAGTATTTAAAATTATCATAAAGTTACTTAACATGGGTTACTTTTAAATATCTTAAGAAAATAGGTTACTAGCTAGATAGATATTTTAGTAGCAATCAGTTGAAGGATTTGAGCTTTTGCTAAAAAAATGAAGTGGATGCTATTTCTATGATGGAACTGGTTGGCCAAGTGCTCTTATACCATGGTGGATCCTACGGTGGTTTGTGGTACTAACCACTTTGCTTTTAGGAAGTAAAAGGTAAAAGCTGTAACCAAAACTTTTTCCTTGAATCTTTTGCTTTTAGAATTAAAAGGCAAAAAGTTAAGTTTGTTTTGGTTTGATAGCATATACTTTTTGCATGTTAAGCAATGGTAGATTGTACCTTGATCTCATGGGTATAACAATAAAAAACTTAGATCCAAGTATAGGCAAAGTATCTACCATCTAGTAAAATAACCTGCAGCAGAATGGGGTTTTCAAATAGGTACTTGATCTGTACTTTTTTCTCTTGGCTTTTATGGCCTTCATATCTTGTTCGTCTGTCTTTGCCAGGTGATGGAGAGGATGTCTAATGCATTGTATCTCTTAGAAAGCAATAATGTTGACAGCTAGCCTGTTATTACCTGGCTTCAGGAAATTGCATGGCACCAGCTTGATGATCTTCGGCCAGCAACTAATGAAGTAATATCTCGTGGGATCACTGGCCTAAAGCTTTATATGGGGGCCCCCTTTTTAGCGTGAGTATCTTGTTATTACATTATGATTATTTTTCAAATGCCTTTTCATTTTTGGTTAAATTGCACATATATGATGGCTTTGTGTAGATCTTTAAAATCATGGATTTCAAAGCATCCGCCCCAACTACATCCAAGATCAGATTTGCCTATAAAAGGTTTTCCCTCTCCTTTATTTTGGAAGACAATTTATTATAGTATTAGGTTTTTGTGAACCTTATAAATGGAAGAGTAAAAAGAAAGGGGGAAGGAAAAGCATTTGGGTTAGGAAGGCAGTGTTGTGGAAATTGGTTCCGACTAGCCAATGCAGTTGTTTGAACCAGAAATTGGTCAATTGTCTGGTCGGGAACATACTTCTTAAATGGAAAAGGTCAAAAACTGGTAAACACAATACATGGATCAATCTCCTCTTTTAAGCCTGTTTGAAGCAGTTCTGGTTTATTGAAATTGACCTTAAAATGCCTTTTATCTTTTCATAAACTTTAGTAAATGTGAGATTTGAATCAACCATTGCCCTCAGTCGATAAAGACACAAACCTGTTGAGCTAAATGCACATTGTCGTCTACATATACTTTATCAACGTCAATCAAACTACTAAATGAACTGGTAAAACTGGGAACTGGCCCCTGGTGTGGGTCTCTCTCTATGGAGAGGTTTTAAAAACCACTGGAGAGACAGACGGATTTGTAATTCTAAAGCTGGTTATGTATGTTTATGCATGTCTTAAACTAATCCTGAGTAAGAAATAGTTGAATTTATCTTCAGAGAAGTTCTGTCTTTTATAATATCTGCGTAAGGTATAACATGAAGAAAGTAAAAACGTAATTCTTTTTCATTAGATCTTTTGTAGTGCTTTTGTTACTAGAGGGATTATGGGTGAAGAGCTGAAATTTTTAGTAGGATCATATCTGCTCTAAAGGTGGTATCTGTAGCATGTTATTAGATTTTTATTAACTCTTTTTTCTTTTTACTCTTATGCTGTGACCTGTGGTTGGTTTTAAAATGTGGAAGTTTTGAATTTAGAGAAATAATTTGACAAAAAATAGCATACTATTTTTATGTTTAGAAAACCATTTAAAATCCCAAATAGAAGCTCAAACCTTGCATATTGTAATTTGGTTTGCTTTCAAGTGCTTTTCTGTGTCATTGATTAGCTCAGCTATGGTGATTTTGCATTTTGACCCCATAAAGATTCAGTTACCATGGAGATCTTTTGGTATGTATTTTCTGATGAGTTCCTTTTCTTTTCTTGTCAAGGGATCTGTGTGTGGAAAGCAAAGAACAGTTCTATAGGAAGTAACTCAATTATTTTGGAGAGCCAATCTAAGAAGCTTCCATCTGACACTAACCCGCCTGACAACGGTCCTGGAAAGAGCTTCAGAAATTTTAGATTTGATACTGCTGCAATATTAAGAGCATTGGAAGGTGGCTTTTCTGCTTGAAGATCAGACCAAGTCGTAGTGACGTGTTTTATGTTCACGTAGCTGGGACTGCTGGGTTAGTTGCTAGAACTTCACCTGTAAACCAAACAGCATCGCTGCCCCAAATCGATTGTATATTCTTGTGTAAGATGTTCAGGTTTGTTAGACATGTAAATTTTGTACAGAAAAAACCATTGTGGCAACGTATCCGGTTCTCGTTCACTGTTCTCTTACACAAACTGGGGAATATACCCTAGTTCCCTTGTATGCTAACAGCCCCGTGACTAAATGTTGTTCAACATGTTGATTCTTGTTATCTACTGTTGTATTCGTTGGTTTTTCTTATTTGCACTAGTCGTTTATTATCCTATATTTTTATGTGTTGATTTCATAGAGTGGTCCATTGGCGCTGAGTAAACCCTAGAATCGCCCCTCTTCTGCAAGCAAAAAGATTTTGTTGTGTGTGTGTGTGTGTTTGTATATATATATATAATTTAATAAAATCTCTTTGAAGATTCAGAAAAAATCTATATGTTGAATCCATGCTTTGACTTGAGGTCTGCAATTTGATTCAGATGCTTGATTCTTATCAATGATTGATGTGCAAAACTTCTATTCTTAATATTTGGGAAGTTGTTTGGGAAATTCCTTTCTTACAAGAAAAGAGTGTCTATTCTCTTGGTTGTTTCGAGTTTGATAAAATAATTTTAATGAATTCTTTAGATTTTATGTTATCTAAGTTTGTTTGAACTCGTCTGCAGTCCAGTGACAATGTATTGATGTATCGAGTAAAACTGTATGAGGTAAAGCTTGGGGATACCCATTTAAAAAAAAAAAAAAAAAAAAAAACTAAGTTTTGGATTTTATTTATGAAAATAATAGTTTTTTAATTTTATCATTTTATTTAAATAAATATTTATACTTTTAATGCAATTAAATAGGTTTTAAAATTTTAATTTATATTCAAATAAATTTTTATTTTTTTAATTTGTATGGAAATAAATTCTTTAATTTTTAATTTATACTTAAATAATTCCTTAACATAAAATAACCTTTTATTTGAAATAAAAACTTATTTAAAAACGATTCAAAGAATAAAATTTCATTTAGGTACAATCAAAATATAAAGATATTTAAAAAAAATTATAATTATTCAGAGATGTTTTTAGTATTTTAACTTTTTATAAATTGTCATGCTCACATGATAAATTTTGATAGATGGTTAGAGTTGATGAATCAACCAAAGTTAAACCACCATTTTTTATATCAATGAAAAAATAAAAGACAGCAATGAAAAGAGTAATGAGGAAGATTAGTATTGTTTCTTTGTGTTTTGGTTTTGTTGGTATGTTCTCTTTTGCCATTATTACAACTAAGCATGCAATGGAGTATGATTGCAGTTTGAAGGGACCACCATGAAAGCTCAATTTCCATAGCCGGGCCTGGATATGATGAATGCTTAGAACTGAAAAACGGCTACATATTTTTTTTCAAACAAAAGAAAAAAAAAAGTGGTCCTTATAATTGAAATCGATGTGCATTTACTAATGGTTATGAATCTTGGTGCATCCTCCTGGCTTTGCCCTTTGTCCGTAACCATGCAACTTGATTTGGTGTCGTCACTCACTATAAAGCACATGGTTTATTCTTGTCTACACATCTTTGTAGCCCAAACCCTATCTCCAAGAACAATGATTCATTATTATTCACCCATTTACTAATGGAAAATCTTGACGTGTCTTATTGATACTAATTAAGATGATATTTTTTAAAAAATAATTATAATTGATATTTATAAGCACTCTTTAATCGATTTCTTTTAAATATATATATTTTTTGTTTTAAATATAATAAACAGTATCTGTAAACACTCGTTGCTCCATCCCTTCAGATTTGAAACTTCCTCGCTCCAATACAAACAAGTATTGATTGATCATTTTTGCTATGTAACATAAGAAATGGAATATGATTCTTGTAAGTACTCTCAAATTTGGTTCTTATTCTTAGTTTCTCTTTTGCAACCATAGAACTATTGGACATACTTTTCGTTCTTCTTTTTGAGAGTTTAAATAGAGGATTTGAACAGAAAAATCATTATTTTGAAGGTAAATTTTAATTTCTTGTAAATCCCAATTTTAATTTAATTTATTTATTAATCATTGTTAAAAAATAATATTTAATAAATTTAAAATTAAAATTTTAATACTTGTAATCTCTTTTTTTATTTTTAAATTATGACTTTTTTTATATATAAAAAAAAATGGTTCCTTGTAAGGTAATGCCTCGACTACTTAAATTTAGAGGCAATAAAACCATGCTCAACTGCTAAAGCTGCAAATTGCAGCTGAGATATATGCATACAAACAACAAACAGGACAATTACAGATGAGAATTTCAGTAACTAAATCGCTTAACCACCAATAAAAAAAATAAAAAATGAACAAAAAAACTAAAAATCGATGATCCTTTTGATAAGAATTGAGAGGCCTATAATTTTGTTCATGACAAATAAAAGGTTAAAAATTTTATTTTTGTGACCTTGTAGAGTGGTCCTCTTATTGATTCTGAGACTGAAAGTGCCTCTTTGGCTTCATTTTCAATGATGTGATTCTCATTTTCACTTCCCAAAACTTCAAATTCCCTTTTCATCACTGTTTTTATCATGATGGGCTTCATCATGATTTGGTTGTCCGATTTTCAACCTGTCACATTCAAATTTCTTTTTCTACAACATATGCTTACAAATATTAAGAAAATTTTGAAAAAATGTCATGTTACTTTCTCGGAACATGACCGTTTGGATGCTCCATGTATCTTGTTTTCTCTGTTAGCTTTACAACTTTAGCCATCTCCTTTTATGATTTTTGTTTTGGTACCGATGGAAAGATCATTCAAGAACATCGTTATAAGAATTAACTATCTTGAATCCGCTAAATAATCAACAAATGCTAACGAATGTCCAAAGAACATTAATTTAAACAAACAAATGCTAGGTCAAGTTCTGAGGATCAAATTTTTAATTCTTTTACTTGCCGATTTGTATTTATGAAAGAAAAGAAGAGTATTAATTGAAATTATTTGAAACTATATTTTTTTTAATGTAATGAGATTAAAATTTTTATATAGAAAGGTTTGTTAAAATGAAATATTAATAAATGTTTTCTTTTTGTTTAATGGACAACTCAAAATGTCACCTTCAAATACTTTTTCTCGTAAACCTAAATGCTTACAACAGTAATTTGAAAATTTCTTTTCTGTGTTGGGAATATATGTCCATTTTGATTGGTCATTGAGTTTCGTTTCCCTAAGTAAAGTCTTCTCTAAAAATCTTATATTTGTTGGCCCTTTTTTGAAATATTTTCATATTGTTTCCAAAATCTGAAGCTAATTATTTAGTTATTGGTGTATAATCCATCTGTCAAAAAAAAAAAAAAAAGTGGCTGGTTCAAATCACCCTATCCTCAAATTAATAAAAAAATACTTCAAATGTTGAAGAATTCGAATCTCTGTTTTTTGCTAATACTTCCTTAAACATATATAACAAAAAAAAAAAAAAAAAAACTAGAAATGACAAAGGAAAACTTGACTTGAGGACCACTTAGCTATAGACATAATGCAAAAGCTCAAGTAAAACCAGTGGAGATATGAATTTCCACAAAAGTCAAATGCTACGGCCACCGGCCCCCGATGAAGGCTTTGAAGAGAAGTGAAAAAAAATGAGACGTTGGGTAATGTCTGGACAGGTGGTGCGATTGTACAAATTTTGCAGCACCAAAGAATTTCATCTATCAAATTGGGTGTAGTCCTATAATTGGCACATTTTAATTGGTTTGGTGACTAAGCTTTGTTTGGGGGTCCAAATTGGTTGATGGTCGGTCCTTTACCGTCTCTATCATATTTAACAACATTAGTTTGAGGGTTGGCCCTAAGTAATTAAAACTTGTTTTAAAGGGTTTGACTTTCAAATAATTAGGATGTCGGTGTAAGAATCGTTGAACCGAATCCATTTGTGTTTGAAATAATTGACGAGTATTAAATGGTTTGAATTTTAAATAATTAGGATGTCGGTGCCAAATTTGTTGAACCGTTTCTATTTGTGTTTGAAGTAATTGACGGGTAACATTGTATGTTTGATTCTAATAAATTCTAAGTAGGAATGTTAGGTGCTATATGAAGTTGATAATTGTTTGGAAAAAAAAAAGCTTGATTGTTTCCATTTGTTTGCTAATCTGGTTAACAGATTGACATATAAATTGCATTAAACATCATTTTTTTTTTGCTAAATAGTAGAAATTATAGTGTTAATTGATTAGTAATCTGTGTGAATATTGTGATTAAAAATTTGACTATGAATAATGTTAATTGTTACATATGATTAATTCAAATTTGGATGGTTAATAATAATTAATGAAGTGAAGAGGGATGAATGTTGGGAATATTGATTCAAATTTCATAAGAGATTTGTTTAGAATTTGTTAGAGATTTATTTGAGATTTATCAGATATTGTTTGATGGACAAAAAAATTTACAAAAGAAGAATTCTAAGAGAAAGATAGTTCTTAATAGGTAAGTTTGACGAGAAAAATTTTAAAAAGAAAGGAATTCTTAATAAGCAAATTTGACTTACAGGAAATGAATTTTAAGAGAAGAGGGATTCTTAATGGGCAAGTTTGTATGGTTATAAATATTTAAAGTCTCTACAGGGTTAAGTATGAGAAAAAGATATAAGAGAGTTGTAAGATTTTGTGGGATAGACACTCCATAAAAGTATTGAGACTCCACGTCTTATAGATGTGTATGCTTGTTTGTGAGTGGACTAGAGGAGACTGAGAGGGTCCACATAAGTATGATGTATGGGAGCATATGAGTATGTGTTTGGTTATTTTAAAAAGGGTACACAAAGGTTTGAGTTGAGAATACTCAATAGGACTAGAGGAGATTGAGAATATCTTATGAGTATTGATTGTTGAGTGAGATTGATGATTTGATGTATGTTTCTCTACAACTATGGATCTTATTTCTCATCCGTGGATGTAGATTGATTGGATCGAACAACGTTAAATTGTTGTCTTTTGTGAGTTTGATTTATTGTTTGATTTCGTTTATGCTAATATGATTAGATTGAAAGCTTTTAGTCCAACAATGAAAATTATATATTTGAAAAAAAAAAATGATGAACGAGGAAGTCTTTTCTCTTTTTTTTTTCTTTTTTTTTTTTTTAATTCTGAGAGGTCTCTACATGTATGGATGACAAATTACGCATCAACTTTTTTTTTTTTGATAATTTAAACACCAACTTAATTAATATAAAATTATTTTTAAAAAGATAAGAATGAAA